CCCCCTTCCCCCAAATAGACCCCCCATGACATGGGCTAGCGTTCATAACATCTATAGTATGCACTACAGTAGACCCTTAACAGCTTCCCCTTCCCCAAATAGACCCCCCATGACATGGGCTAGCAGGACAGTAGGCTAACCCCCCCCCCTCCCCATATGCTACTGTATGACAATGTGGAACTGGTCAACATAGACCATTGTTTGGATGCTACCCTCAACAGACACCACATCACTGTGACCCGCTCCTAATCCCCTCATAGAGAGTGTCAGTGTGTCCAGTGTGGTGGGCAGTAATATTTGATATGTGTACATAGAGTATATATCAGTAGAGGCTGCTGAGGGGAGGACGGCTCATAATAATGGCTGGAACGGAGTAAATGGAATGGCATCAACCCATACCATTCCACCTATTCCGCTCCAGCCATTACCACGAGCCCGTCCTCCCCAATTAAGGTGCCACCATCCTCCTGTGGTATATATACTTCACATGCGACTCATAACAAGACTAAGCAATTAGCCTATTCAAATGTTTATCTGACTCCATAAAGATAATTCAACTATACTGTATAAGCACGCATTAGGCAATGAGTTGACGTTGACTAGCAAGAATTGGTCTGAGAATTGTACACTACACAAGTGTTAGCGGAATGGTTGAATGAACTACGGACATCACAGCATCAGACCCTTTGCCTGGTTCGTATGCCTTTAATGTTCAGGGCAGGAAAGTCTGCATGTACTCAACAAAGGCCATTATCATATCACATTCATTCACGCCAGGGTCAGAGTTCAATGCAATGATTTCTGTCGACAAATCACAGAAGCAAACGCTACACTTAAGTTAAGGGAGGAGGGTGAGAGGAGAAGAGAAGAGAAGTCAACGGGTAACATTACTGTACTCCACTAACTCTTATCCGTCTCCCCTCCCCCTCTCACACCAGTTGGATTTAGGAAGCACATAACGTCATTGTGAGTTGCTTGTATATTTCAGATTTTATTTATTTGCAGTCAAGGCACAACGGCACACACACACCCCTGCAGCCGCCTAGCAACTCCACTAACAATCCCATGTTTACTGTGCAATACAGGCACCATTTTGTGTCAACACTATACACTGGAATTGGTTAACATCAGCATTAAATGAACTCTTGGATCCCTAGCGGTGGGATAGAAGTCTCAGATTGATTTGGTTCAGTTCCAGTTCTAGAAGGTTTGGAACAGTCAGACTCTTTGGAGGTGATGCGTACACATTACGTTTGTGATGCATCACATACAATTAGGCGTGTCATAGAAGGAATGTCATGGTGGGTCCCAGTTAAGTAAATCGTTTATTTCCTTATTTTCAAGAGGTCCTATTTGTGCCTTTGCTATCGTTACACACACTCCCCCTGTCTTTCACACACAGCCAAGCAAGCAAGCAAAACAAACAAACATACATGCAGCCACTTTAGTACCACATGTAAGTTATCCTGTGCATTATCAATACATATATATATATACACAAAATATATTTCACCCTCTCAGTGCTATAATGGTTGGTTGATTGATTGATACTTTACAAATAATTGTTCAGTAGAGTCTCAATCACCTCCAATAAGTCTCATCATAATAACTAGGCACAAGCGCATGGCCTGCAGGTTTTGCATTGAGGCGATATTGCATAATTTGACAGGTGTTAATCTTTCATATGGACTATGTTCTCTATATATATTATTGAAACCTGCATAATAAGTGTGTATAGTTTTGTATTTACAGGATAATATCAGTACACTGAGCAACAACTTTCAAACGCGTACAATATATTTGATTGCATCGCCTTCATGTGCACACTGTATCTTTCCATTTATGAGTCAAACTTAAAATGATTGTAGATGGATTATGCTCAACATAAAAACGACAGTTGGAAGAATGATATGAGTGTTTATGAATGTGGATTGTAGATGATTACAGGGTGATTTTAGTGCCAAAAGAAATTGAATCGGAATTCAATTTATTTTGGCACTAAAATGACTCCGTAAAAGGAGTCCGCCACTTCAATCAGTTTAACAAGACATGGAAATGAAAAATAATGCTTCCGTTTCTTAAAATACAGTTTTATTTTGTAAATTTACACTGATTAGCAATACATCTAAAAGCAACTCCATTACAGAAGAACCATTTATAATAGGATTTATGTTCACAGGTCACAGGTTGGGCTTGGCTCATTACTTGCATGCTAAAGCGATCCTTTCTTTTTTTATAAACAGAAACAAAATGGTGGACAGAGTCATTAGTTAGTAAAACAAGGTGCAAATGGTCGGTAGATGTGAGAGAAAAGTAAATCAAAAGAATGCAAATGCAAATTCAATTAATCTGAGAGCGGTTTGTAAATGCTCGTATTGTAAATGGTTAATAAGGAAGAAGAAACCTAGTACTTGGTAAACTAAAAAGACTGAACAGAAAACATGTCTGTGATACAAATGGAAAGATGAAAAATAAGAACTTTGTCAAAAAGGAGAAATGGTATGAAAAAAAAGGGTAGAATTGTGAGTAATAATAAAAAACATGGGGCGTTAACGTCATAGTTCTCCCTAAAAACCCACCCCTCCCCCACATTTTACATTTTCTAAAACTCAACACACCTCAACCCTTTTTCCAGCTTTTCATGTAACTGGGAGACCAAAAAGCTCAACTCTGCCGTGAGACAGATGCTGGGGCTACTTACACAGCTAAAGATGTGCCTCGCTCCACCCCACTCTCTATGTTCCAAATCCAATACTTCACATTGCTAGCTGGGATATTGGTACATCTGTATATGAACTGTATAATTCTATTTCTATATGCCGACTTTGGCTCTTTTTTTTTTTTTACAGGGTTCAACAAGAGGTCAACCACTTAGCCATCACTCTTCCATGATGTATATCGTCTTGAGAAATAATAACACGAGTTCCAGTTTCCACAACTGACAACGTCGTGAAAGGAGCTGTTGAGATGCAAATAAAAAGAGAAACTGATTCAATGTCAATCCACTAAATGTTGTCTAAAATCCTTGTTTTTACAAGGACTTGAGGAGTGGCAGTTGAGAGAGACAATGACGGGCACATAAAGATACAGCACTGTCATTGTGATGTCTGTGGTATCATTTCCAGGCTTCCAGGTGGCTAAAGAGGCTACGCAAACAGCGTCTAGACAACTATGAGCTGTCAAAGTGGTCTTATGAGCAGTCATAGGCATGACATAGGGGTGACTTATAAGAGGCCTAATGACAATCCTGGGAGCACTCTTGCTAATTTTGACGCCCGGTGCGGGCAGGATAAGATTCTCAACCCTTGTCTCGTGATAAAAAATATAGGAGAAAAATATAGTATATAGCTTTTAAAAAACGCACACAAAATACACACCATAGCAACAACAGCGCCAGTTCCGCGCTCAAGGCCCATAATTTCTCTTTTATAACCAGTTTAATTCATTTTTTGTTTTTAATTGAGAAATAATATTTTTGTTCAAGCGTGACACAAATATATCTATTTTTCTTCTGAAACATCTCACTTTCCACAACCTAAACTGTATCTCCATTACTCTGCCCCTGCTATCTACTTGCTTGCTTCTATAGATTCTATTGGTTCTATAGTCTCAACCTTTCCACGGTTCTGCTTCTAGAATCTCCTTCATAGGTGAAACCACCTGCAACTACATTGTGTTATAGTCATACCACAGTAAAAGTGCAGCACAATAAAATAAAAAATATATAGTTAAAAATCTATCCCCAACATATCCAGTTTTCATATATCTCAGTTATATAGTATTTTTTGTAATCTGAACAAGAATATAATTTGAGAGAAACCTGCAAGCAACACTAGAGTAACATAGTCAGCCATATAAATTCAGATTCTTGCAAAAACATGCGTAACATCTTGTATTTCTCTGTAAAAGTATAGAAATGAGTACAAAACTGAGTGAGAAGACCACTACCAAATTGTGTTCAATTAAAAAAAACTAAAGAAAAAGCAAATATTCTTTAATGAGATGACTCATGTTTTTATGATCTAAATGAGATTTAAACGTATATAAATGATGATTCTTCACTAAAACGTGATAGTTTTTATTCCTTTTAGTTTGGCAAAATAAATGAAATTATTAAGAGGAGAGGAGGACAATAAAAAATGCTTTGCGGGTTTAGAGTGAATCAGCATGAAGGTTGAAGGTCGGCTAGAAGAGAGCTAGGTACTGTAAATATAGATTCACTTTCAACAGAAGGTGAGAGAGGAGGAGGAAGAGGAGCAATAAAAAGAGGGATAAAAGAGAGAAAGATGCGGGAGAGAAACGAAGCGAGAGGCAGAGAGAAAGAGAAAAGAAGAAACAAGAGGGAAAGAAAACCTGTACGTTTAAAACCATCTCAAACCAGTTTTCCAGTGTGACTATTACTTTATGTAGTCTCTCTGATTTCAGTTCTCTATATATTGAAGAAACGGACCTCATATGAGGAGAAAATATAAATGAAAAGAACATGGTGGTTGTTATGGTTACCACAAGGGCGTAAATAGTTTCCGTGCGCTAGCTAGTCGCCATATTGTGCAGTTTAATAATACCACTGATGCATATCTAGACCCACCAGTGTCGGCAGAGAAGAAATTACATAATCAGCCAATGGCAGCGAATATTGAACATGGGGGAGAAGCCAGCTTTCCAGAATCAGTTTCCCTATATTTGTTGCAGCTTTATAATTTTAACCCTCGCCTTCCCAACAACGAGCCTGCACTTCTAAGCGGAGGAAGAGAATCCTCAACTCAATTCATCACTTTCCGCGCACGTCTAAACATTGTTTTTTACTTAAAAGAACCATTTGTTAAAAAATACAATCAAAATAAAATCTTTTTTTTTTTTAAATGACAAAAGAGGACACTGACAAAAATGAAAAATAAAAACAGACAAAAAAATATGTGGGTGCTGCCCCTCTTTCTTCTTAATCTTCTGAAACTGTACTGTATATAGGCTCTAATATCACTCCCTCCATCTCTCTTTCTCTAGGCCTCCATTTTCTCTTTCTTTTTGTTCTTCTTGAGGAAGGAGGGAGTGCGGAACTTCTTCTTCTTCTTGTTGGGGGACTTGGAGGGCGAGCTCTCGGGGGAGAGGGCGGAGTCTTCGATCTTCTCGCCGGTGCGGACCTTGACCTCAATGCTCTCCACGCTGGTGGTCAGCTGACTGACCCGTTTGCTCAGCTCTTCGTTCACCTCGTGGTCACCGCCGTCCTTGCCGTTCTGCATCGTGTGGTTCTCTGGAAAGAGCAGCGGAGAGGGGTCAGAGGTCAGACAGGGTAGACCACCACCAACCACAACAACAATAAACCTGATTCTGTGTCTGCTACAGGCCTGTATACTATGTTGTTTGACCACAAAATATGTTAAGGTGCTACTAGCTCAGTTGATAGAGCATGGCGTTTGCAACGCCAGGGTTGTGGGTTCGATTCCCACGGGGGGCCAGTATAAAAAAAAAAGATGTATTCACTAACTGTAAGTCGCTCTGGATAAGAGCGTCTGCTAAATGACTAAAATGTAAATGTAATGTCACCTACCCTATCTGAAATCTGTCATTACAGTACAGCGTGAATCTGTTTACTAGTCACCTCAAATTCAATGATCACCTCTTTCAATAGTGTATTTCACACCCAATGTTAATGTGACCATGACTATGTACTGTCCCACCCTACAGTACTGTAAGGCATGTTCTATGTACTGTGTAACCCACACATGTATGTATTTTCAGCTGATAGCCTAGTAAATATATCCTGTCTTTGCTCTACTCTAACAAAGGGCTACCATTCCCTTGATCCTCTACCCATCTATCCCTCGATCCTGTCTGTTGTGTTCACATAACAGCTCTCCTTGGATAACTAACGTTACGTTTTGTGTGATGTAACAAAGCCAATAGAGAGAATAGGCTCATAGGGAAGGGTTACCACACTGAACAGTGTTCTCTACAAGCACTGTTCTACTGTTCTATTACAAGAGACTTTCAATGTACTGCAATGAACCAACGTATGACATCATAAGAGGTTGTTGAGCAACACTTGAACCGATTTGGCCACCACAGGAGAAGAACTGGTTGACTGTGTCATGAATTGTGTCGCTCGCACACACAAGGAGCAGTTTGTTGTGGGGAACTGTGTTGATGGCTACTCAAGTGTTCTGTGGTTATGCGGTGTTGGTTACTGTTGTTCAAAGGGACAGGAAGTAGTTACTACAGGAAATAAAACTGAGTCATTGTTGACAGTGTTGTGATTAAGAGGAAGTAAGATACTACAGAATTGGAACTGATTAAACATAGTGAAGTTGATAACACAATAGTAATGTAGTAGGTTTCCATATAACTTTGTATCTATTATAACCTTTGAGGTAAAAGTGGAACCAAAGGAATCTAGAATATGTGTTTTTGACATAATAAAACACAGCACAACCTTAGTAAAGACAGTTCTGTTGAAACACACACAAACACATTTCACAACACTCTCTCTCTGTGTGATACCTTCTTTAGCTGGAGTTATTTGCGGGGACTGAGTTTGGGACAGAGACTGAGAGAGAGTGGAAGCGTCGTTGGAGGTTAGGTCGTGCTCGTCATCTGCAGGAGGGGGTGAGGGTTTGGGATGAGGGTTGAAGGGGTGGGAGTAAGGGGTCAGGGGGTGAGGAGAGGGTTTGGGTTGAGGGGTAAGGGTGAGGGAGTGGGTCAGTAGGAGTAGGGTTGGGGGGTGAGAGAGGGGAATGAGGGTTTGGGGGTGAGAGATTAGTGTTGACAGACATGTTAGAGGCAAGACATCACAAACAGATCTGGGACCAGGCTATGTTGGGGTACATGGAACATAGTGGTCATACAGTATCTCCAGTACATACTGTGAGGTATCTAAGGGGTTAACACGGTTCATTTAACCACCAAGTCATTCATCTGGGCCTTACTAATACTATTAGTATATAAGTGTACATCAACCCAGTGCCATTAAAAAAAACATTCATTATCATAGTGGAGTTATAGCAGTTGCATTACAGACAAACAGTCATTTGTGAAAATATCAACATCATAGTATTCATAACAGCACATAGTTTTACTGTGAGCACAGACAGTTCAGCAATACATGCATTAGAACATTCTATAAGGAACATAATATGGAACCAGATTGGACTGGTGTAGAGTAGGTGGGGATAGGGGGTGGATGGTGTCATGGCAACCGGGCCCACTCATACAGTGGGTGTGAAAACCTGCTGTGGGCCAGTCTGTCTGTTCTGTTGGCCTTCTTAGTCATAAGATGGAGTGATGGTTCCCTGCTGCACACACGTTATTACAGGCAAAGGTTTTTCCATTCTGACTGCATGACTTGATCAGGAACAACTATCACTAAAAATGTTGTTGTGGCTTATAAAACGGGTTAGGAGAAATCTGCAATCTGATTGGCTGAAATGGGGCTCCAAGCCATTGACAATTCCCTGTTATCCGCACTGTCTATGGAAGTAGTACCAGTTTTCACTGGAGTGGAATACTACTATTTGACTGGTGTATTGCATGGTAGGACAGATGACTGGTGTATAGCATGGTAGGACAGATGACTGGTGTATAGCATGGTAGGACAGATGACTGGTGTATAGCATGGTAGGACAGATGACTGGTATATTGCATGGTAGGACAGATGACTGGTATATTGCATGATAGGACAGATGACTGGTGTATTGCATGGTAGGACAGATGACTGGTGTATGACATGGTAGGACAGATGACTGGTGTATTGCATGGTAGGACAGATCTCTGGTGTATAACATGATAGGATGATTGTGGACTACAGGAAAAAAAAGAGGACTGAGCACGCCCCCATTCTCATCGACGGGGCTGTAGTGGAACAGGTTGAGAGCTTCAAGTTCCTTGGTGTCCACATCACCAACGAACTATCATGGTCCAAACACACCAAGACAGTCGTGAAGAGGGCACGACAAAGCCTATTCCCCCTCAGGAGACTGAAAAGATTTGGCATGGGTCCTCAGATCCTCAAAAAATTCTACAGCTGCACCATCGAGAGCATCCTGACTGGTTGCATCACCGCCTGGTATGGCAACTGCTTGGCCTCCGACCGCAAGGCACTACAGAGGGTAGTGCGTACGGCCCAGTACATCACTGGGGCCAAGCTTCCTGCCATCCAGGACCTCTATACCAGGCAGTGTCAGAGGAAGGCCCTCAAAATTGTCAAAGACTCCAGCCACCCTAGTCATAGACTGTTCTCTCTGCTACCGCACGGCAAGCGGTACCGGAGTGCCAAGTCTAGGTCCAAAAGACTTCTCAACAGCTTCTACCCCCAAGCCATAAGACTCCTGAACAGCTAATCATGGCTACCCGGACTATTTGCACTGCCCCCCCACCCCATCCTTTTTACGCTGCTGCTACTCTGTTAATTATTTATGCATAGTCACTTTAACTCTACCCACATGTACATATTACCTCAACTACCTCAACTAGCCGGTGTCCCCCGCACATTGACTCTGCAACGGTACCCCCCTGTATAGATAGCCTCCCTACTGTTACTTTATTTTACTTCTGCTCTTTTTTTTCTCAACACTTTTTTTGTTGTTGTTTTATTTTTACTTTTTTTGTAAAAAATAAATGCACTGTTGGTTAAGGGCTGTAAGTAAGCATTTCACTGTAATGTCTGCACCTGTTGTATTCGGCGCATGTGACCAATAAAATTTGATTTGATTTGATTTGATTTGACAGATGACTGGTGTATTGCATGGTAGGACAGATCACTGGTGTATAACATGGTAGGACAGATGACTGGTGTTTTGCATGGTAGGACAGATGACTGGTGTATAACATGGTAGGACAGATGACTGGTGTATAACATGGTAGGACAGATTACTGGTGTATTGCATGGTAGGACAGATGACTGGTGTATAACATGGTAGGACAGATGACTGGTATATTGCATGATAGGACAGATGACTGGTGTATAACATGGTAGGACAGATGACTGGTATATTGCATGATAGGACAGATGACTGGTGTATTGCATGGTAGGACAGATGACTGGTGTATAACATGGTAGGACAGATGACTGGTGTATTGCATGGTAGGACAGGACAGATGTGGATCTGTGGAGAGGACTATTGTTTCCGCTCTCCACTTGGTATTGACTGTTCCCTTGGCCCTGAATAGTCTGGGGCTGCTAGGCCTTCTATTTGGAATTCCTTGGGCTGGACAATGGTAAGCTCAAAGATAGTAAGGAATGTGTATTTTATACATTACCACCTACATGTGTGTTTCTCTGTGTTTCTGTATGGGTGTGTGTGTGTGTGTTTCTCTGTGGTTCTGAATGTGTGTGTGTGTGTGTGTGTGTGTGTGTGTGTTTCTCTGTGGTTCTGAATGTGTGTGTGTGTGTGTGTGTTTCTCTGTGGTTCTGTTTTTATTATTATTATTTATTTATTTCACCTTTATTTAACCAGGTAAACCAGTTGAGAACAAGTTCTCATTTACAACTGCAACCTGGCCAAGATAAAGCAAAGCAGTGCGATAAAAACAACAACACAGAGTTACATATGGAATAAACAAAACGTACAGTCAATAACACAATAGAAAATATATATACAGTGTGTGCAAATGTAGTAAGTTATGGAGGTAAGGCAATAAATAGGCCATTGTGCAAAATAATTACAATTATAATTTAGTATTAACACTGGAGTGATAGAGGTGCAGAAGATGATGTGCAAATAGAGATACTGGGATGCAAATTATCAAAATAAATAACAATGTAAATAACAATATGGGGATGAGGTAGTTGGGTGGGCTAATTACAGATGGGCTGTGTACAGGTGCAGTGATCGGTAAGCTGCTCTGACAACTGATGCTTAAAGTTAGTGAGGGAGATAAGAGTCTCTAGCTTCAGATATTTTTGCAGTTCGTTCCAGTCATTCGCAGCAGAGAACTGGAAGGAATGGCGACCAAAGGAGGTGTTGGCTTTGGGGATGACCAGTGAGATATACCTGCTGGAGCGCATACTACAGGTGGGTGTTGCTATGGTGACCAATGAGCTAAGATAAGGCTGGGATTTGCCTAGAAGGGATTTATAGATGACCTGGAGCCAGTGGGTTTAGCGACGAATATGTAGTGAGGGCCAGCCAACAAGAGCGTACAGGTCACAATGGTGGGTAGTATATAGGGCTTTGGTGACAAAACGGATGGCACTGTGATAGACTACATCCAATTTGCTGAGTAGAGCGTTGGAAGCTATTTTGTAAATGACATCGCCGAAGTCAAGGATTGGTAGGATAGTCCGTTTTACGAGGGCATGTTTAGCAGCATGAGTGAAGGAGGCTTTGTTGCGAAATAGGAAGCCGATTCTAGATTTAACTTTGGATTGGAGATTGTTAATGTGAGTCTGGAAGGAGAGTTTACAGTCTAACCAGACACCTAGGTATTTGTAGTTGTCCACATATTCTAAGTCAGAGCCGCCGAGAGTAGTGATTCTAGTCGGGCAGGCGGATGCAAGCAGCGTTCGATTGAAGAGCATGCATTTAGTTTTACTAGCGTTTAAGAGCAGTTGGAGGCCATGGAAGGAGTGTTGTATGGCATTGAAGCTTGTTTGGAGGTTTGTTAACACAGTGTCCAATGAAGGGTCAGATGTATACAAAATGGTGTCGTCTGCGTAGAGGTGGATCTGAGAGTCACCAGCAGCAAGAGCGACATCATTGATATACACAGAAAATAGAGTCGGCCCGAGAATTGAACCCTGTGGCACCCCCATAGAGACTGCCAGAGGTCCAGATAACAGGCCCTCCGATTTGACACATTGAACTCTATCTGAGAAGTAGTTGGTGAACCAGGCGAGGCAGTCATTTGAGAAACCAAGGCTATTTAGTCTGCCAATAAGAATGCGGTGATTGACAGAGTCAAAAGCCTTGGCCAGGTCAATGAAGACCTCTAGATCCAAACTGTTACAGACCCATATCCATCCTGCCCTGCCTTTCAAAAGTTTTTGAAAGCCAAGTCAACAAACAGATCACCGACCATTTCGAATCCCACCGTACCTTCTCCGCTATGCAATCCGGTTTCCGAGCTGGTCATGGGTGCACTTCAGCCACGCTCAAGGTCCTAAACGATATTATAACCGCGATCGATAATAGACAGTACTGTGCAGCCGTTTTCATTGACCTGGCCAAGGCTTTCGACTCTGTCAACCACCGCATTCTTATTGGCAGACTAAACAGCCTTGGTTTCTCAAATGACTGCCTCTCCTGGTTCACCAACTACTTCTCAGATAGAGTTCAATGTGTCAAATCGGAGGGCCTGTTGTCTGGACCTATGGCAGTCTCTATGGGGGTGCCACAGGGTTCAATTCTTGGGCCGACTCTTTTCTCTGTGTAAATCAATGACGTCGCTCTTGCTGCTGGTGACTCTCAGATCCACCTCTACGCAGACGACACCATTTTGTATACATCTGGCCCTTCATTGGACACTGTGTTAACAAACCTCCAAACGAGCTTCAATTCCATACAACACTCCTTCAGTAGCCTCCAACTGCTCTTAAACACTAGTAAAACTAAATGCATGCTCTTCAACCGAACGCTGCTTGCACCCGCCCACCCGACTAGAATCACTACACTCGACGGGTCTGACCTAGAGTATGTGGACAACTACAAATATCTAGGTGTCTGGTTAGACTGTAAACTCTCCTTCCAGACTCACATTAAGAATCTCCAATCCAAAGTTAAATCTAGAATCGGTTTCCTATTTCGCAACAAAGCCTCCTTCACTCATGCTGCCAAACATGCCCTCGTAAAACTGACTATCCTACCGATCCTTGACTTCGGCGATGTCATTTACAAAATAGCCTCCAACACTCTACTCAGCAAATTGGATGTAGTCTATCACAGTGCCATCCGTTTTGTCTCCAAAGCCCCATATAATACCCACCACTGTGACCTGTACGCTCTTGTTGGCTGGTCCTCACTACATATTCGTCGCCAAACCCACTGGCTCCAGGCCATCTATAAATCACTGCTAGGCAAATCCCCGCCTTATCTTAGCTCATTGGTCACCATAGCAACACCCACCCGTAGTCTGCGCTCCAGCGGGTATATCTCACTGGTCATCCCCAAAGCCAACACCTCCTTTGGCCGCAATTCCTTCCAGTTCTCTGCTGCCAATGACTGGAACAAATTGCAAAAATCTCTGAAGCTGGAGACACTTATCTCCCTCACTAACTTTAAGCATCAGTTGTCAGAGCACCTTACCGATCACTGCACCTGTACACAGCCCATCTGAAATTAGCCCGCCCAACTACCTCATCCCTATATTGTTATTTATTTTGCTCATTTGTACCCCAGTATCTCTATTTGCACATCATCTCTTGCACATCTATCATTCCAGTGTTAATACTAATTGTAATTATTTTGCACTATAGCCTATTTTATTGCCTTACCTCCATAACTTGCTAAATTTGCACACACTGTATATATATGTATTTTTTTTTTTTTTTTTGACTTTGTTTTGTTTTACCCCATATGTAACTCTGTGTTGTTGTTTTTATCGCACTGCTTTGCTTTATCTTGGCCAGGTCGCAGTTGTAAATGAGAACTTGTTCTCAACTGGTTTACCTGGTTAAATAAAGGTGAAATAAAATAAATAAAAAAATAAAAAAAAGACGGCTGCACAGTACTGCCTTTTATCGATTGCGGTTATTATATCGTTTAGGACCTTGAGCGTGGCTGAGGTACACCCATGACCAGCTCGGAAACCAGATTGCATAGCGGAGAAGGTACGGTGGGATTCGAAATGGTCAGTGATCTGTTTGTTGACTTGGCTTTCAAATACTTTCGAAAGGCAGGGCAGGATGGATATAGGTCTGTAACAGTTTGGATCTAGAGTGTCACCCCCTTTGACGATACGAAAGAGAGGTTGAACAGGCTGGTGATAGGGGTTGCGACAATTTCGGCTGTTCATTTTAGAAAGAAAGGGTCCAGATTGTCTAGCCCAGCTGATTTGTAGGGGTCCAGATTTTGCAGCTCTTTCAGAACATCAGCTATCTGAATTTGGGTGAAGGAGAAGCGGGGGGGGGGCATTGGCAAGTTGCAGCGGAGGGTGCAGAGCTGGTGGCCGGGGTAGGGGTAGCCAGGTGGAAAGCATGGCCAGCCGTAGCAAAATGCTTGTTGAAATTTTCGATTATCGTAGATTTATCGGTAGTGACAGTGTTTCCTAGCCTCAGTGCAGTGGGCAGCTGGGAGGAGGTGCTCTTATTCTCCATGGACTTTACAGTGTCCCAAAACTTTTTGGAGTTAGTGCTACAGGATGCAAATTTCTGTTTGAAAAAGTTAGCCTTTGCTTTCCTAACTGATTGTGTATATTGGTTCCTGACTTCCCTGAAAAGTTGCATATCGCGGGGGCTGTTCGATGCTAATGCCGTACGCCACAGGATGTTTTTGTGCTGGTCAAGGGTAGTCAAGTCTGGGGTGAACCAGGGGCTATATCTGTTCTTAGTTCTGAATTTTTTGAATGGGAAATGTTTATTTAAGATGGAGAGGAAAGTACTTTTAAAGAACAACCAGGCATCCTCTACTGACGGAATGAGGTCAATATCCATCCAGGATACCTGGGCCAGGTCAATTAGAAAGGCCTGCTCGCTGAAGCGTTTTAGGGAGCGTTTGACAGTGTTGAGGGTTGGTCGTTTGACCGCGGACCCATTACGGACGCAGGCAATGAGGCAGTGATCGCTGAGATCCTGGTTGAAGACACCGGAGGTGTATTTAGAGGGTAAATTAGTCAGGATGATATCTATGAGGGTGCCCATGTTAACGGATTTAGGGTTGTACTTGGTAGGTTCCTTGATAATTTGTGTGAGATTGAGGGCATCTAGTTTAGATTGTAGGACGGCCGGGGTGTTAAGCATATCCCAGCTTAGGTCACCAAGCAATATGAACTCTGAGGATAGATGGGGGGCAATCAATTCACATGTGGTGTTCAGGGCACAGCTGGGGGCTGAGAGGGGTCTGTAGCAAGCGGCAACAGTGAGAGACTTATTTCTGGAAAGGTGGATTTTTAGAAGTAGCAGCTCAAACTGTTTGGGCACAGACCTGGATAGTATGATAGAGCTCTGCAGGCTATCTCTACAGTAGATTGCAACTCCGCCCATATTGGCAGTTCTATCTAGATGGAAAATGTTGTAGTTGGGAATGGAAATTTCAGAATCTTTGGTGGCCTTCCTAAGCCAGGATTCACTGCTAGAACATCAGGGTTGGCTGAGTGTGTTAACGCAGTGAATAACTCAAACTTAGGGAGGAGGCTTCTGATGTTAACATGCAAGAAACCAAGGCTTTTGTGATTACAGAAGTCAACAAATGATAGTGCCTGGGGAGCAGGAGTGATACTGGGGGCTACAGGGCCTGGGTTAACCTCTACATCACCAGAGGAACAGAGGAGGAGTAGAATAAGGATATGGCTAAAGACTTTAAGAACTCGTCTTTTAGTGCGTTGGGTACAGAGAAAAAAGATTTCCAGGCATTGTAGAATAGATTCAGGGCATTATGTACAGACAAGGATATGGAAGGATATGAGTACAGTGGAGGTAAACCTAAGCGTTGGGTAAAGATGAAAGAGATAGCATCACTGGAGGCACCGATTGAGCCGGTCTCCGCGTGTGTGGGGGGTGGGACAAAGGATCTATCTGAGACAGGGTGAGCAGGATTGGGGGCTCTACTCTGTGTGACTCTCTCTTACCACTCAGGCCCAACTGTCTCCTCTCTACGTTCATCGTGCATTCGTCCATCTCTCTCTCAGACAGCTGACTGAAGGGGTTGGGAGGCAGAGGAACCATCTGGTCATCCTCTGATGCCACGTAGGGCTGGAGAGAGAGAGAGAGAGAGAGAGAGAGGAGAGAATGGAGGGAGAGAGAGAGAGAGAGAGGAGAGGAGAGAGGAGATAGAAGGAGAGAGAGAGAGAGAGAGAGAGATGAGGAAGGAAAGAGAGAGAGACGAGAGGAGACGAGAGAGAGAGAGAGAGAGAGAGCAGAAGAGAGGAGAGAGAGACGAGGAGAGAGAGAGAGAGAGAGAGAGGAGAGAGAGAGAGAGAGAGAGAGAAAATGGAGTTAACATAGGACCAGACATAAGACTCCCCAGACTTTTAACATGGACAGATACATGTCCACATTAGGACCAGTGTGAGGACACTAACTCATGCCAGTTCATCGTAAACCACAACACACACTAACACACAATTCAATAGAAATGGGCATATCACACAAACACACTCCAATACTTTCAAATGACTTACCAACAACAGGGGAAAACACTTATTAAGAGACACTGTCTAATATGAATGCTGTTCTGTCACAACCACATCAGAACATGCACAACACACATTTGGTGACATAAGGAAGTAGCAAAACATGGGTCATTCATTGGTGGAGTACACTATCATGCGTAAACACTCCATTTCACTCCCACCTCCAAAACACACAAACAGTGATGATGTGACCTAACGGGACACCAACTGAAACGACAAACGGGTTTTAAAAAATGCACTAACACTGCACGCTGTAGAATTCAAAAAGCCCTGTAGATATATTACCTTTACACGGACCGGCTGATCCTTCAACACATGACATACACCATGTAGGAGAACAATATTTAATAAGTGATCAAATCTCGCACTTATCAGTTTAATCTAAACTCTGATAATAGGCAGCAGAGACCTGGATTGTGTTATTTCTTTGTGATAAAATGATACCAATCACCAAAATGCTCCCAAGAAGATCCAAAAGGATTAAGTTATTCACCAAAGTTGGAACTTTGAACTGGTGTCATTATAGAATCCCAGAGCCATAGAGATGTGTACTTATGGTTAGAAAGAATGCATGTAATTAGCCCCACCTACTGGTCAAGGTTGGTAAACGCAATAACACATAGCTAAGCCTATCTACCGTGGACGATCTGGCTTACTTTGCAAAATCCTAAAGGATGCTTACATCTTACAGACTGCCGTATATACCCTATAATTCAAAAGACTGTCATATACTGAAATAAATATTGAAATATAATGGTAACACTTTACTTGAGAGGTTGTTTATGACAGTGTTATGGATGTATCACGAACAGGACTTCAAGTAAAGTGTCAACAGATATATTTGTTTGTCATACAGAGTTGCCACTCACCATTCGAGGTTCGTCTAATGGGATGCCTGCCAGGTGGTGAGAGCGAGGTCCGGACGTCATCATGTCAAATCTGTTCTGCTCTCTGATCTGTGATAGGACAAAACAGTGACATCATCACTAACAGCTACACATCCAGGAAGTGTATGGTAAGGATTATTGTTCTGATAGGATGATGGAAGGCAGAGAAGGAGCTGATAGGCTGATGGCCAATAGAGAGGAATTAAGTTGAAGTTGTCCCTAGACAGTGATCCAAGGTCAGTTTTGCCTTTCTCCTACTGATGGTTATGGTTAGGATGTATGGAGGGTAGCTGATCCTAGATCTGTGACTCACTCGGTTTCGCCTCTCCAGCACCTCGCTGGGGTTGGTGTTCATAGGGACAAACTGATTGGGGTCCTCAATCCGGATTGGAGTGCCGCTGCTGTTGCCACCTTCCTCAGACTTCATCCACTGTAGAGAAGAACAGAAAAGACAAAAACATAGTCCAATCAGACATAGTCCAATCAGACATAGTCCAATCAGACATAGTCCAATCAGACATAGTCCAATCAGACATAGTCCAACCAGACATAGTCCAACCAGACATAGTCCAACCAGACATAGTCCAACCAGACATAGCTTTTGACCAATCAGATCAGCTCTGAAAAAGATCTGATGTGAAATTATAGGAGGTGATTGATCAAAACACCAATTAGTGGAAAAACTTTCAGAATTGGGCTGCCTGTGTAAATGCAGCCAAGGTGAACTTGCTGGTATTCCTTTCTGAGTCATTATATGCGGTAATATCACAAAGATGTAATTATCTAACCTACCAGGAGAGGGCAGCCTAATATAAGGTTTCCCCAGAAAATGTGCATCAGAGAACATCAGATTGGCTTTAGACTAGCTAATGAGCTAGCCAGGACCAAGTCCTGCACAACAGAGTATGTAGACATGAACAGGGAGCTCTGTTTCATCAACACTGACCGTGTGTGTGTGTGTGTGTGTGTGTGTGTGTGTGTGTCTACAGTATGAGTACCAACCATTGTCCGGGTGTGTTCGTATAGTGTGTGTGTTAACCCTCCATACAGTATGGGTACTGACCATGGTCCTGGTGCGTTCGTCCACGGCCGCCACGTTAACCTTCATATAACTGTTAGGGCTGTTGAGCCAGCGTGTCTTCTCCCTGGCCTGTCTCTGCTGAAGGAACTTAAACGGCAGCCGCGCGGCGCCCTCCTCCTCCTCGAACATGAACGCCGTCACCGTGGCCGGGATCTCCACGTCTGACTTGTGCCGAGGCTTCTCCCGAACGATGGGGTGGCGGTAAGCGTAGCCTGTCCGGTAGCCCTGTGGGGAAAAGGATACAGAAATCAATCAATCCATTAGATTTCATGTCCATAGTGCGTTCAGTCCGGCAGCCCTGTATGGAAAAACAAACAAATGACAGAAAGGTCCATCTACAAATCAACCAATCAGATTCCGTTTGTATAGTACTTATTTGTCACAAAGTGTTGAAGTCCCTAGAGAGGAAGAGGAGGCAAATGTGGTAGGTAGGAAGCTACTCCGTAGGTAGGAAAGAAGACACTTTAATAGTGGAACCTTTGATCACCACATTCATCTAGAGTTCATTTTCAATAGTGCAAGTCATCTCAGTAGAATCTTCTCTACATAGGAATGTAGTTAATGTGTCTGTCCCACCCTTTTTATTTGGACACAGCCCTGGACTCAAAACTATCGCCTCTGTCCACTAAGGAAAACGGAGCGAGAGAGAGAGAGAGAGAGGGGACACAGTCTCCGGCCACTATCCCATGATTCCTAGCTGTGGCCTCAGCTCTGAGAGAGAATGGAAAAACAATGATGTGCAGCCGGAGGGGTTCCTGGCATCTATGGACAATGGAGTGTGCTCAGATATGTCCTGTCTCTTTCTCCCCCTCTCTCTTTTTCTGTCTTTCTCCTCTCTCTCTCCTCTCTCTCTCACTCTGTATAGCGCTCATCTTCTCTATCCCTGACTTAACTCTCTCTCGCTCTCTCTTTTCCCATCCCTCACTCTACCTCTCTCTTTCTAGATCTCTCTTCCTCCCTCCTTGTTATCGACACCAGACTATCCTGTCAGTCTGAATCACAGATAGACTTTAACCAGGTGTTCAGAGACCAGACTCAACCTTTCAACTGGACTCAGGAAACACAGAATCGGAATCAGATGAGGTTCTTGGCATGCAGCTTTCTCTCCGTATCAGATGTATATGCTGTGGTGTTGTGAAACATATGTTATCCCGGGATATTCTGTACTATAAGAAATAGTATTTTTACGAGGTGTGAGACGAGACTGTGTGATAGGAGCGTCCTCTTTGGACATCTACCCAGGGCTTTGAGTAATGAATCTCCAGATACACTGCATAGAGGACAGAGGAGAGAAGAGGAATGAATCTCCAGATACACTGCATAGAGGACAGAGGAGAGAAGAGGAATGAATCTCCAGATACACTGCATAGAGGACAGAGGAGAGAAGAGGAATGAATCTCCAGATACACTGCATAGAGGACAGAGGAGAGAAGAGGAATGAATCTCCAGATACACTGCATAGAGGACAGAGGAGAGAAGAGGAATGAATCTCCAGATACACTGCATAGAGGACAGAGGAGAGAAGAGGAATGAATCTCCAGATACACTGCATAGAGGACAGAGGAGAGAAGAGGAATGAATCTCCAGATACACTGCTAGAGGACAGAGGAGAAGAAGAGGAATGAATGCTCCAGATACACGGCATAGAGGACAGAGGAGAGAAGAGGAATGAATCTGCCAATACACTGCATAGAGGACAGAGGAAGAAGAGTAATTGAATCTCCAGATACACTGCATAGAGGACAAGGAGAGAAGAGTAATGAATCTCCAGATACACTGCATAGTAGGAGCAGAGGAGAGAAGAGGAATGAAATCCCAGATACACTGCATAGAGGACATCAGGATGAGAAGAGGAAGGAAAATCTCCAGATACACTGCATAGAGGACAGAGGAGAGAAGAGGAATGAATCTCCAGATACACTGCATAGAGGACAGAGGAGAGAAGAGGAATGAATCTCCAGATACACTGCATAGAGGACAGAGGAGAGAAACCTAAAGAGGAGGGAATGAATCTCCAGATACACTGCATAGAGGACAGAGGAGAGAAGAGGAATGCCATAGAGAAAGAGAGAAGAGGAATGAATCTCCAGATACACTGCATAGAGGACAGAGGAGAGAAGACAGTAGACAAGAACAAGTGAGAGAAGAGATACTTGGGGAGACAAGAGAGAAGTTAAGGAGAGGAAAGCTTTGGCAGAGGGAGAAAAGAAAGGGAGAGAGGGAGAAGGAGAGAGGGAGAAGAGAGAGAGAGAAGGGAGAGAGAGAAAGAGAAAGAGAGAGAGAGAGAGAGAGAAGAGAGAAGAGAGAGAGAGAGAGAGAGAGAAGGGAGAGAGAGAGAGAAGGGAGAGAAAGGGAGAGAGAGAGAAGGGAGAGAGAGAGAAGGGAGAGAGAGAAGGATAGAGAGAGAGGAGGGAGAGAGAGAGTCTATCTGCTGTAAGCTCAGCAGTGTCTGAGCCTTGAGGGATCTGGTGTTGTTATGAAGCCTCCCAGGCAGAATTCCAGCAGGGCCCAGACCATAGATCACTGACCCAGTCCCAAGTCTACAGGGACCAGTACAGCTGCACTGGACCAGTGATGCACTGGCACAAGGTGTTAAAAACAACTGTTATCTGAACCATAAGGGAAGAGTGAGAGATGAATAGACTGAAAGAGTAAAAATCCAGTTGATGGCACAGAAATGGTAATGCCAGAGGAAATGGGGTAGGATGGTACACTATATGTTGGAATCCAACTCATTGTCCTTGAATTCCATTGCCCTGTTAGTTACACAATCTGGAGGTCAGAGGCAGGAGGGGGGCACCTGGGGCAGTGCCAGCCCAGCAGGTCAACTCATAGCCTGGGTAGCGTGGGTGGTAGCCCCCCTTCCTCCCATGACCTTGGTGGCTAGTGCCAACGGGACATATGGCATAGCTATGAGTCACTGTCACAGCAAGGATATTATAGACTGGTGTAGATTACAGTGTGTGTGTGTGTGGAGGGGGATGGAGTGTGTGTGTAGGGTTGGAAAGGAGTGTGTGTGTGTAGTGTGTGTTGTGTATGTGTCTGTGTCTGTTTGTATGTGAGCGTTACATAGCGTGTGTGTGTGTGTGTGTGTGTGTGTGAGTGTGAACCACCATGCACTCACCAGGTTATCCAGCATCCTCATGAGAGATTCAAACTCCAGCTCTCCCACCTTCCACTTGTGTGGGCTTCCCATGTTGACAGACCCAGCATCGGCCACCGCATGGGTCCGAGACTTATACTTCTCAGCATCCAACACAATCAGGTTGTCTATGCTGCCTGCACACGAGAATGCATTCACCTAGAGAGAGAGAGAGAGAGATATGGGGAGAGAGAGATGGGGGGAGAGAGAGAGAGAGAGATGGGGAGAGAGAAAGAAAGAGAGAGAGAGAGAGAGAGAGAGAGAGAGAAAAGATTATAATTTATATACAGAGGAAAGAGGAAAAGGAGTAATTAGCCATCTCTATTCAGAAAAGAGAGAGGCACAGAATTCTATCGAGATAAAAAAACTAGACAATTGAACAATGTAACCCAGGGAGATATTACAGTTTACAGTTATTATACGAGGTCACTTTGTGCAATAGCCACACACACAACGTAGCCTGGGGTTTATCTTTAGATAGTAAGCAGGCTTTGCTAGGTTGGATTAATGTTTTGTTTTTCTCTGAGGCCGAGATTCAAATAGGGATTTGGTGCACCTATTACAACAGGCAGGAACACCCACCCACACACCCACCACACCCACACACACACACACACCCCGTAATGTCTTCCATATTTACAAACCGTATACACTACGGGCACGCACACATACACACTTTGCCAAACAAAACTCTGGAAATCATTGACTTTCCATTCAAGCTGTCCTGCTGGTGTAGTTGTGGGGTAATATACAGTCCATTTAAAATGGTGTTTCTCCCTCTTCTAATTCAGATGGTGTAGGGCGTTCTAGTGCTTTAACATCATCTCTTTGTTTTGGTGCCAGCCTTTTCCTCTCACTCTCTCTCTATATATTTTTAGCAACCTCATAAATGACATTCCGGCTTTCCTATGGAAAACCCAGATACGACCAGAACAGGAACAGCAACACTAATAAGAGTTAGATGAAGACAACAGCCATTGTGACGTCGTGTTGTTGATGATTTGTTACTGAAATCTCTGTTAGAACAGTAAATGTACTGTAGAATCTAGATCTAAATGAGTTACTGCATTTATTGATTTATTGTTTGATGAGAGTGAAGTCCAGGTTTCAGTGTGTGTGTGTGTGTGTGTGTGTGTGTGTGTTACGTAGCGAGTGTGTGTATACCTGGATCTCACAGGCATACTGAGCGTTGTAGATGTAATGAAAGGCCTCTTCGATGGTTTCCCCCAGAGCCACCACTCCATGGTTCCTCAGCACCAGCACCTGGTCACCATACACACAGGGTCACGGTAAAATAAAACGGTCACAACCCAACCATAGATGAGGACAGTTACATCTAACAAGACCATATTCCCCAGTGTGGTAATAACCCTCCATAGTTTACCAGTATATCAAATCAAATCCAATGTTATTTGTCACATGCGCCGAATACAACAGGTGCAGACCTTACAGTGAAATGCTTGCTTACAAGCCCTTAACCAACAATGCAGTTCAAGAAATAGAGTTAAGAAAATATTTACTAAATAAACTAAAGTAAAAAATAAAAAGTAACAATAAAATAACAATAACGAGGCTCTATACAGGGGGTACAGGGGATTCTAGAGAGGGGACACTAAACCACAGTAACCTCAACGCCATTAAGGCTGGCTGACTAGCTAGTACATTTGATCACCAAGACTGTTTTTACAGTACACAAGCTAGAAAACAGTCCTGTCAAAGCAGTACCGTAGGAGTAGGATTTACCCACTGAACTAAGGTCAGTTTGGCATCCCCCGAACTAACAATTAACATCACGTTTTGGGGTGGGGTAATCTGATCCTAGATCTGTACCTTGGCTGAGGGTCCGAGGGCTTTCTGCAGCTCCAGGCGTTCCTCCTGGTCGTCAAGGCTACCCTGGTAGTTGTAGTATGCGATGTCACCCAGGATCAAGGCCTCCTGAGAGATGGGCAGGATGCCACACTTCATAGACGACACCTGGAGAGACATGGGAGGAGAGGGGAGGAGATGTGAGAACTATTCAGACACTGGAAGTGGGTAGAGAGAGAGCGAGAGAGAGAGAGCGAGAGAGAGAGAGAGAGAGGGGGGGGGGGAGAGAGAGAGAGAGAGCGAGAGAGAGAGGGGGGAGAAGAGGGTGAAACGGCCGATGAACATATACAATATCATACAGTGCATTATAAATCAGTGTGCTTGAAAACATCAAAATGTGGACAATATTTGTCTAAAGTCATGCCTATTGAAACAACATGTCTTCCTCTAAGATCCTGAATGATGAAACAGAATGAAAAGTAACTCACGGCGGCAGTGGCGGGAGTGTGCACGTGGATGCAGCAGCGTGCGTCTGGCCTGATGGAATAGATGGCAGCGTGGGGGCTGAAGCCTGACGGGTCAACCCTGAGGTTGGTAGAGCCCTGGTCAATCACATCCCCGATGATGTTCAGCTTTACCTGGGAGAGGGAGAGGGGGAGAGGAGGGGCGGAAGGAGAGGAAGGAGAGAAAGGAGAGAAGAGAGCATTAGCCATTGTATAAACAGTGACAGAAAATACACATGCATGGTTTTACATACACAAACACATACACAGTTTAATGGACATGTGAATCACCTCCCTTAAGAAAAAAAAAAATGATTACACTGGTTATATTGTGAGGGAGACATCTGCTAGCTATATAAAGATGCATGAAATGGGTAATAACAATTTAAATGATTCATATACTCATCATCATCAGGAAATGTACAGAAGGAATCGTAACTGTATCAGTGTAACTGGTCTTGATACTGTATGTCCTCAACGAGAACTTCATTACCGCTGTTTCATTAGATTACCGGCTATCGAAGAGGGTTGGAGGGAGCAGAGAGAGGGAGGGAAAGAGAGCGAGAGACAGGGAGAGAGAGAGGGAGAGAAAGAGAGAGAGAGAGAGAGAGGGGATGAGGAGAGGATGAAAAGATGAGGAGAGGAGGAGGAGAGGAGAGAGTATAGCCAGTTCTCAATACACAACTAATTATGATCAGACAACACAGCCAAAGAAACCTATCTAATAAATCTACACTGAACAAAAATATAAACGTAACATGTAAAGTGTTGGTCCCATGTTTCATGAGCTGAAATAAAAGATCCCAGAAATGTTCCATATGCACGAAAAGCTTATTTCTCTCAAATGTTATTCACAAATTTGCTTACATCCCTGTTAGTGCGCATTTCTCCTTTGCCAAGATAATACATCCACCTGACAAGTGTGGCATATCAAGAAGCTGATTAAACAGCATGATCATTACACAGGTGCACCTTGTGCTGGGGACAATAAAATACCACTTTAAAATGTGCAGTTTTGTCACACAACACAATGCCACAGATGTCTCAAGTTTTGAGGGAGCGTGCAATTGGCATGCTGATCGCAGGAATGTCCACCAGAGCTGTTGCCAGAGAATTGAATGTTCATTTCTCTACCATAAGCCGCCTCCAACGTCGTTTCAGAGAATTTGGCAGTACGTCCAACCAGCCTCACGACCGCAGACCACGTGTAACCACGCCAGCCCAGGACCTCCACATCCGGCTTCTTCACCTGTGGGATCGTCTGAGGAGGAGTATTTCTGTCTGTAATAAAGCCCTTTTGTGGGGAAAAACTAATTCTGATTGGATGGGCCTGGCTCTCCAGTGAGTGGGCCTGGCTGCCAAGTGGGTGGGCCTATGCCCTCCAAGGCCAACCCATCGCTGCACCCCTGCCCAGTCATGTGAAATCCATTGATTAGGGCCTAATGAATTTATTTCAATTGACTTATTTCCTTATATGAATTGTAACTCTGTTGCGTTTATATTTTTGTTCATTATAACATCTATTTGTAGTCTATCCCTACTTACAGAATCACTAAATGACCAGGTTAAATGTAAACTGTATACTGTTACAGACGCTGAATATGAAACACCCTGTTCTGTTTTCCAGCCTGACAGCCATATGGGACAGTGGGAGGATGACAGAGACCAGTCGAATTGATTAGTTTGTCCAGTAGATGAAAGCAACCAGTAAACCATGTCTAATGTGGCAGCTGTCAGACGAACAGACCAGACCAGCCGATCGAACACTAATGACAGGTTTAGTTACATCACATGTTAGGATTGTAAGAGACCAATCACATCCTTCAATGTCCGGGCCCCTCTACCAGTCTGCCAATCAAACGTCAGAACAGCTCAGGTTCTACTGTATGGAGGGAAGTGTTGTTGAGGTGAATATGAAATGTGACGCAGGCTGATGACACATTTTCAATCTGCGATAATGACATACAAAGGCAGCAGACCCCTTGGTAGCTATCAGCTTGTTGGACATAGAGGAGAGTTGACCTACATGCCTATGGAGTTCACATGATATCGTTGAATTCCTTGGGGTCCTTTGAGTTGAACCAATCACAGAGCTACAACATTTTGACCTCCTGACCTCACCCCAGATATGACGTGAATCTCAGTGGACAGTTCAGCCAGAAGGGTAGTCTCCCTCTCTCTCTCCCCCTCTCCCCCCCTCTCTCTCTCCCCCTCCACCTCTCTTTTACTGCTGTACTATTTTCAATGGAGACCTTCCAACTTCAATAGCAGCAGCTGGCCAGAACTCTTGTGAGACTAAAATGATCCTCAAATCTAATTTGGAAACATGATTTCTGCGTATACATCATCTATTGTATTAGATCTCATTTAAGTGTGTTATAAGTGTATCGTACCGTAGGGATAATTCCAGGACCTAGAGGAAGGCTAGCTAGAGGGCGTAACACAGTCTCTGTCCCAAATGGCACCCTACGTAGTGTACCACTTTTGACCAGGGCGACCATCGGGATCTGGTCAAAAGTAGTGCCCTATGTAGGGAATAGGGTGCCATTTGGGACGCAGTTAGAGTCTACATAGATCATCCACTAGCTAGCGAACAGATCCTTCCTTCATATTGCTTTACGATGGGGCTAAACTGAATAAGCCCTATAATGGGAGTATGGTACGTCAGAGAGAGGGATGTGACTGTGAATGCCTGGCTCATCATAAGGAATGCCTGCTGGGTGATTGGCTTGGAGCATGGAGTTAGGAGTCAAACAGGTCATCCTTTCAAAACAACTACAACGATGATGACAACAACAACGATGATCCAACAAACTATCAATCAAACTAATCCTCGTATCAAAGACCATGAGCTCTAACGGAGTGGAATGTCTCTTTACTTCTCAGTTCCCATCCTAACTACTAATGAAACAATAACACAACATAATCAAACTTTAATCATAGGGACAGCTGTCTTCCTACAGGTATCCTCTCCTTCACCTTCTAGCTCAGACAGCTGAGCCCAGCAAGAGCCCAGAATGTCAACCCCCCCTCCCTTTCAGTGACCTTTCACCCCTCAGTGACCTTTCACACACTGAGCTCTGGATGACTTCCTTTGTCTCAGGAAGTTAATGGCGTTCCACCTCTAAAACGCTCCCCTTAGTGGGTTTAAACCCATAACAGACCAGTAGAGAAAGAGAGGGAAGGGAAAACAGAGAAAAGAGGCCTTTACTGGCCAGGAATATAGTAGCCAGCTGGAGTATAGTAGCCAGCTGGAGTATAGTAGCCATCTGGAGTATAGTAGCCAGCTGGGGTATAGCAGCCAGCTGGGGTATAGCAGCCAGCTGGGGTATAGTAGCCAGCTGGGGCATAGTAGCCAGCTGGGGCATAGTAGCCAGCTGGGGCATAGTAGCCAGCTGGGGCATAGTAGCCAGCTGGGGCATAGTAGCCAGCTGGGGTATAGCAGCCAGCTGGGGTATAGTAGCCAGCTGGGGCATAGTAGCCAGCTGGGGCATAGTAGCCAGCTGGGGCATAGTAGCCAGCTGGGGCATAGTAGCCAGCTGGAGTATAGTAGCCAGCTGGAGAATAGTAGCCAGCTGGGGTATAGTAGCCAGCTGGGGTATAGTAGCCAGCTGGATTATAGTAGCCAGCTGGAGTATAGTAGCCAGCTGGAGTATAGTAGCCAGCTGGAGTATAGTAGCCAGCTGGAGTATAGTAGCCAGCTGGGGTATAGTAGTCAGCTAGAATATAGTAGTCTCATTCGTCTCACAGAGACAAAGCTTTCTGTGTGTGTGACTACAGTACCACAGTAAAGACTACGTTTCTACATGTCACTCTGCCGTCTGTGACGGCATCAACCAAGAGAAACCAAACGTATACTAGGAGTAGGATCTCTTCAACTTCCAAATAGAAGCCGTCAACAAATTCATTCAATTCAGTCATCACTAGGTTAACAGTGGAGTGAAGAGTACTGTATATCTTTACAATGACCTTTAGCCTAGTTATTCTCCTCTCTGGGAAGATCTCAATTGCATTCTCCTCGTCTCCTTCTCAAAACCCATTGGAGGAGAAGGTCGGAGGGGAGGGACCTCTGGATTTCTCCTCCAATGGGTTTTGAGAAGGAGACGAGGAGAGGGGAAGCGAGGAGAATGCAATTGAGACTCTCTCTCTCTCCAGTCTGAGCCCCACCCTGTCAGACAGTTAGAGTTAGAGTCTACATAGATCATCCACTAGCTAGCGAACAGATCCTTCCTTCATATTGCTTTACGATGGGGCTAAACTGAATAAGCCCTATAATGGGAGTATGGTACGTCAGAGAGAGGGATGTGACTGTGAATGCCTGGCTCATCATAAGGAATGCCTGCTGGGTGATTGGCTTGGAGCATGGAGTTAGGAGTCAAACAGGTCATCCTTTCAAAACAACTACAACGATGATGACAACAACAACGATGATCCAACAAACTATCAATCAAACTAATCCTCGTATCAAAGACCATGAGCTCTAACGGAGTGGAATGTCTCTTTACTTCTCAGTTCCCATCCTAACTACTAATGAAACAATAACACAACATAATCAAACTTTAATCATAGGGACAGCTGTCTTCCTACAGGTATCCTCTCCTTCACCTTCTAGCTCAGACAGCTGAGCCCAGCAAGAGCCCAGAATGTCAACCCCCCCCTCCCTTTCAGTGACCTTTCACCCCTCAGTGACCTTTCACACACTGAGCTCTGGATGACTTCCTTTGTCTCAGGAAGTTAATGGCGTTCCACCTCTAAAACGCTCCCCTTAGTGGGTTTAAACCCATAACAGACCAGTAGAGAAAGAGAGGGAAGGGAAAACAGAGAAAAGAGGCCTTTACTGGCCAGGAATATAGTAGCCAGCTGGAGTATAGTAGCCAGCTGGAGTATAGTAGCCATCTGGAGTATAGTAGCCAGCTGGGGTATAGCAGCCAGCTGGGGTATAGCAGCCAGCTGGGGTATAGTAGCCAGCTGGGGCATAGTAGCCAGCTGGGGCATAGTAGCCAGCTGGGGCATAGTAGCCAGCTGGGGCATAGTAGCCAGCTGGGGCATAGTAGCCAGCTGGGGTATAGCAGCCAGCTGGGGTATAGTAGCCAGCTGGGGCATAGTAGCCAGCTGGGGCATAGTAGCCAGCTGGGGCATAGTAGCCAGCTGGGGCATAGTAGCCAGCTGGAGTATAGTAGCCAGCTGGATTATAGTAGCCAGCTGGGGTATAGTAGCCAGCTGGGGTATAGTAGCCAGCTGGATTATAGTAGCCAGCTGGAGTATAGTAGCCAGCTGGAGTATAGTAGCCAGCTGGAGTATAGTAGCCAGCTGGAGTATAGTAGCCAGCTGGGGTATAGTAGTCAGCTAGAATATAGTAGTCTCATTCGTCTCACAGAGACAAAGCTTTCTGTGTGTGTGACTACAGTACCACAGTAAAGACTACGTTTCTACATGTCACTCTGCCGTCTGTGACGGCATCAACCAAGAGAAACCAAACGTATACTAGGAGTAGGATCTCTTCAACTTCCAAATAGAAGCCGTCAACAAATTCATTCAATTCAGTCATCACTAGGTTAACAGTGGAGTGAAGAGTACTGTATATCTTTACAATGACCTTTAGCCTAGTTATTCTCCTCTCTGGGAAGATCTCAATTGCATTCTCCTCGTCTCCTTCTCAAAACCCATTGGAGGAGAAGGTCGGAGGGGAGGGACCTCTGGATTTCTCCTCCAATGGGTTTTGAGAAGGAGACGAGGAGAGGGGAAGCGAGGAGAATGCAATTGAGACTCTCTCTCTCTCCAGTCTGAGCCCCACCCTGTCAGACAGCTGAGTGATGCTTGTTAGTTCCACCTGTCAACAACTCACTCTGATTGTTCACCTGCAGTGCACTTGACTTGTCACAGAAACAGGTGCTTGGAGCGAGTGAGAGTGAGTGAGTGAGAGACAGCGAGTGTGTGAGAGAGAGCGACCTACAGGGAGCAGCAAATACAAACTAAGAAATAGAAACAAATAGAAACTTATAATGCACTTCCCTGAGCCAACACCAGTGGTTCTGCAGCAAAACTAGACAAGGACAACAACATTACCCAGCATTCACTACCACCACTGACATGCTACTAGACCAGAGGCAATGACAAATAGACAGGGTGAATAGTAGCCAGCTGGGGTATAGTAGCCAGCTGCATCCAGTCAGACAATAACACGGCAGCCAGTCAGACAATAACACGGCAGCCAGTCAGACAATAACACGGCAGCCAGTCAGACAATAACACGGCAGCCAGTCAGACAATAACACGGCAGCCAGTCAGACAATAACACGGCAGCCAGTCAGACAATAACACGGCAGCCAGTCAGACAATAACATGGCAGCCAGTCAGACAATAACACGGCAGCCAGTCAGACAATAACATGGCAGCCAGTCAGACAATAACACGGCAGCCAGTCAGACAATAACATGGCAGCCAGTCAGACAATAACACGGCAGCCAGTCAGACAATAACACGGCAGCCAGTCAGACAATAACACGGCAGCCAGTCAGACAATAACACGGCAGCCAGTCAGACAATAACACGGCAGCCAGTCAGACAATAACACGGCAGCCAGTCAGACAATAACACGGCAGCCAGTCAGACAATAACACGGCAGCCAGTCAGACAATAACACGGCAGCCAGTCAGACAATAACATGGACAATCACAGAAAAGTAGACTACAATCACAGACGATCTGTTAACCTAGTGATGACTGGGCGGCAGGTAGCTTAGTGGTTAAGAGCGTTGTGCCAGTAACCGAAAGGTCTCTGGTTCTAATCCCCGAGCCGACTAGGTGAAAAATCTGTCGATGTGCCCTTGAGCAAGGCACTTAACCCTAATTGCTCCTGTAGGTCGCTCTGGATAAGGGCGTCTGCTAAATGACTAAAATGTAAAATGTAATAAAACCAGAGATAATGAGACATAAGCAGGATGGTTTTGGTAAGTCTTGGGTCAATAACATGGCAGCCAGTCAGACAATAACATGGACAATCACAGACGCAACGAACAGTCAGTGATAAAATACCCTTCAAAAAGTAACACACAGTAGGAATTCCCACAGTCAGCAATATACCAATCTCAGCAACAAAGAGATACAGTAATGTAACTGCAGGATAACATTGTATTCGCCATATCAAGCACATTACTCTACATTTACATTTTACATTTTAGTCATTTAGCAGACGCTCTTATCCAGAGCGACTTACAGTTAGTGAATACATATTTTATTTTTTTATTTTTTATACTGGCCCCCCGTGGGAATCGAACCCACAACCCTGGCGTTGCAAACGCCATGCTCTATCAACTGAGCTACATCCCTGCCGGCCATTCCCTCCCCTACCCTGGACGACGCTGGGCCAATTGTGCACCGCCCATGAGTCTCCCGGTCGCGGCCGGCTACTCCCCTGACCGCCATGGCTCGACAAAACACAGACCAGTGTGTGTGTGTGTGTGTGTGTGTGTGTGTGTGTGTGTGTGTGTGTGTGTGTGTGTGTGTGTGTGTATGTATGTATGTGTGTGTGTGTGTGTGTGTCGGCCTCTGTGCCAGAATGTTAGATTTCTGCTAATCTAATAGTTCTCTCTCAAATAATTCAAGGAAATAGACGGCTGATTAAGCATTGGCGCTGTTGTGCCGGGTTTGTGAGAAGGGCTGCCAGAAACCTTTTACTCCACATGACGCAGTATATTGGCTTAATCTGGCACCTGGCACAAACACACAGACTACACCTCCAACCTAGGCTGTGTTCAGTAGGACCAAATGGGATAAAACAGTTTGAATTGGAGAATGACAATGAGTGTTCTTATTGGACAATTTCAGATAGTTGCTCTTCCATTTCAAAACATTTTATCCTGTTTGGTACTACTGAACACAACCCAGCACACGTCTAAAAAGAGATAGCTCTTTCCTGATTGGGTACAGGTTTGTTTTGCTTGGTTGTGATTGGGTGCATGTGCTTCCTGGTGCGTTGTGATTGGACTTACCAGGTTGGATGCGGATGCCTCAGCGAATGACAGCCCTCTGGGGATGACAAGGATGTGGTCCTGCTCTCTGCTGACTCGGACCTGGACACAACAACAACAAAACACCTTGTTATGACCTTGAAACTTCACAGTGCTGCTGCTGACACAAGCAAAACTTTAGGGACCTGATGCTCAAACACACTGCTCCCAAACAAAAGGACGGGCACACAGTTCTATGTGTCTTGAAAACATATCCTGAAGGTAGCATTGTAGGCAGGGGATAGACAGAACATAGTTCACTCTAAGCAGAACTCAGATGGCACATACCTGCTTGCAGTATGTCTCAAAACACAGTTCTACAGAATAGGTTTATGATGCGTTATGACATGGTTATGACTGAGGTTATTGCAAGGTTACTGCAAGGTTTTTTTCTTACTGTGATGTAGGAGCTGGCGAAGTGTGCCCAGCTGAAGAGGTCCACCAGTCTGTAGAGGCTGGCCAGTTTGCAGCGTGTCTGCTTCTCCCCCTTCACCAGAGTGGTAGACTCCACTCCATACATGTCGTTGATGGGAGTGACCATTCCAAGGCCTGGAGAGGGGGTGAGCAGAGAAAGCAAAGCAGAGAGGGTTTAAAATGTTTATTATTGTTGGGTGTGGGGATTAATAGCTCTATTATTCGCTGTATAATTATCAATATGAATATATTAATAATTATATTAATCAATAACAATCAATACTCACAGCCGGCATATTAGATTACCTGCGGCCTGGGAATCGAGACAGATTCTAAGCACTAAGTACATCAACTGTTCTAACAGGAAACCAATTCTATCATTCAATACATGTTTTATTTAGAGACACGATACTAAAGAGATTTCAGATCAGTTGTTAATAACCAATAATAACCATCTGAGACAGAGATAGAATACATCTGGGGCTGTCTCGTCTAACCAACTGATTTACTATAGAGTTCTCTACACTGGACAGTGGATACAAATAGCAACAAGCCATCCTTTGACACTGGCAATGTTAATATCAAAGATAATTACATGTAGTTACAGTAAGTTTTAACAAATGTAATGATCTTACTTCACATATTTCTTAAGTAAGAAATAATCCTTGACAATCTTATCCTTTTCTTTCCTCATTTACAGCAAATTCCATAACTGCCCGCTGGTTGCTGAGATTAGTGGTGTTATTATGTGGACATATTATGGGATATATGAGGTATAACTGGGGACTCTATATTATAGTGGTCGTGGTGGTAATTCATCATTAGTTCCACATTCCGAGGTCTGTAATTGCATGATTGGAAACAGACTTCACATGTGGAAACTTGGAATGAACAGGGGATGAAAACGGAGGGAAATATGCAAGGCTTTTCCGGAGTCAGCTAGGAGGGACAGGTTACTGATAGATTGTGTGTGTGTGTGTGTGTGTGTGTGTGTGTGTGTGTGTGTGCCTATACAGATTTGGAAGTCTCCACTTTTCAAAAACAATAGAGTTAACAATATTGGCCTAGTTGAAAGTCAATAGGCTGTGGCAAAGATGGTATGCTGCTCAAATGAGTGGCAGTTGGGTGTTGCCTGGGTGACAGGCTGTACCAACAGCACTACTCCTTGAGGGGGGTTATGGGCTGTACCACCAGGATTGTATTCATTAGGCAGAAAAAAGAAAAACGGACCGAAACAGGGAGGGATTACCTGAACATTCAATAAGAAATGCTCATTTTCATTTTACTTTGCTACATGTTTTGCTATGGTTGGCCTAATGGACGTACCACTACTACTCACTGAGGGGGGTTACAGGCCGTACCAACACTATTACTCACTGAGGGGAGTTCGGGCCATACCACTACTACTTACTGAGGGGGATTACGGGCAGTACCAACACTACTACTTACTGAGGGGGGGGTTACGGGCCGTACCAACACTACTACTTACTGAGGGGTGAGGTGCTGAAGCCAGCCACGGATGAAGACATGAAGAAGTCAGCGATCTGTCTGAGGGCCAGGAGACCAGTGGGGTTGTTGCCTTTCTTCTTCTGCTCCTCAATCAGCCCCTCCAACTCATCCTTAAAGGCCTGGAGACGGGGGGAGGGAGAGAGAGAGAAATTGAAAATGAAGACATTAATCACAGATTAGACTGGTCCTTGGGTGTCACTCTCTCAGTAAACCCAGACTGACTGACTGACTGTCTGGCTGGCCAGGGACAGAGAGGTCTATCCTTCTGTAATCTCCACAACCTCAAGTCCCCCTGCACTACTTCCAGCAGTACTGATACATGCACACCACTACTACACTCCCTTCTTTACACTACTACACTCCCTTCTTTACACTCCTACACACCCTTCTTCACACTACTACACACCCTTCTTCACACTTCTACACACCCTTCTTCACACTTCTACACACCCTTCTTCACACTACTACACACCCTCCTTTACAACAACACTACACCACCCTTCTTGTTACACTACTACTACACACCCTTCTTTAATTACCTACAACACACCCTGTCTTACAACTAACTACAACACCCTCTCTTGTAACACTACTACAACACCCTTCTTTAACACTACTACACACCCCGTCTTTACACTGTGGTTCCCTGTAGCTCAGCTGGTGATGAGCAACGGCACTTGTACACGCCAAGTAGTGGGGTTCGATGTCCCCGGGACCACCCATACACAAATGTATGCACGCAATGACTGGTAAGTCGCTTTGGATAAAGCGTCTGCTAAATGGCATATTTATTATTATTATTACACGACGACACACCCGGCGGCACAGACGACACACCCGCGCGGCACACGACGACACACCCGCCGTGGACACGACGACACACCGCCGGGACACGACGACACACCCCCGGGACACGACGACACACCCGGCGACACACGACACACCGGCGGCACACGACGACACACCCGGCTGCAACGACGACACACCCGCCGGACACGACGACACACCCGGCGGTACACGTACGAACACCCGGCTGGGACACACGACAGGCCCGTGCTGCACACTACTGACAACCGCTGCACACACACCCGCTTGCACAGACTACACACCCTCTGACACTACGACACACCTCTCCCACAGACACACACCGCTGCACACGACAACACCCGCCGGGACTACTACGACACACCGGCGGGACCACGATCACATGGCCTGCCACACGACACACCCGCGCCACTAGCACGACACCCGGCGGCCACACGAGACACACCCGTCTGACACTACGACACACCCGGCGGCACACTAACACACCCTCTACACACGACACCCTTCTGTCCACTACGACTACACACCCTTCTTCAAACTACTACACACCCTCTCACATACTACACACCCTGCTACACAACACACCCTTCTTCACAATACACACACCCTCTTCACACATACGACTACACCCTCCTTACACTACTACACACCTTCTACACACTACTACACACCCCCACCTACTACAACACTACTACACACCCTTCTTCACACTACTACACACCCTTCTTCACACTACTACACACCCTTCTTTACACTACACTACACACCCTTCTTCACACTACTACACACCCTTCTTCACACTACTACACACCCTCCTTTACACTACTACACACCCTTCTTTACACAACTACACACCCTTCTTTACACTACTACACACCCTTCTTCACACTACTACACACCCTTCTTCACACTACTACACACCCTTCTTTACACTACTACACACCCTTCTTTACCCCATTCTGTCTTTTATTATCTTCCTCTCCATATGTTTCTCTGTGCACCTCCCTTCCTGACTGTGCCCCAGTACTGCTCCCAAAACACTGCCACAACTGGAACTAGGACAGGTAGAGCTAAGGATCAAGGAAACGGAGGCGTTTAGATTTACCACAGTGTTGACTATATTGAAACTCACTATTCATCAAATGAATTATGCCCAATACAAGAGTTACTAGGCAATAACTTTGATATCCCATTACATCTTATTATCTCTTTATAACAACGACACTATAATTTGGGAGATAAAGTGTTTACAATAGCAGGGTAATGAAAGGGGTTAGTCTTAATGTACTGAAACACATAAATCCCTATTATTACATATCAAATGTTAGCTATATAAACTATAAAAAGAGATCAAAAGCCAATAAACTGAATTGTAATAAACAAGTAATAGCTTGAAAGACTGTATAGTATGACTAACTGGCAACGGGATGGGCCACCATGTTGAAATTGTTGCTTTTGCAAGAGACAAACCGTTGTTCCGTTACTTAGTGACCTGGGTCAACTCTTAGAAACGTCTTACAGCACAACTCTTAAAAAGAAGATTCAGAGAGGAGGAAGAAATAGGATGTGACACCATTTCAGTACAATGACTTCCTAAATGGGAACACATCCAATATTAATGCTTTTATTCCATGTCTCTGCTCGGAACAAAACACACACACACACACACACACACACACACACACACACAACACACAACACACAACACACAACACACAACACACAACACACACACACACACAAGAGTAGTCAACTCCACAACAGTCTGGGTATAGATAGAGCCGTTTCAGAGTCTCACCCTAAACACAAAACATCTCTGACAGTCTACTCTTCTCTAACCCCCCTGCCGGCTGGCCCCATGGGACAGTCCATTATTGTTTGCGGATGGGACCGGGTCGATTAATTTCTCCCCTTGTGGGGGTGGTTTTTAAAATCTCTACAGCATCCCCTGGGAACACAGAACAGAACACAGACCCAGTAGAACTCTAGGGGTTCTGAGGGGTTCTGAGTCGGGGCCAAACATTCCGCTATCGCTCGGGCCCTGTTGCCATAGTGACAGTTTTGGCTAGGTCTGGTAGCTGCACTGCAGTGGTGCGGATGTGGATAGGGTGTCTGCTGGGCTTGGGGTTTGTTCTGGACTTTTCTATTATACTGTCGACTGTGCTGTTACACAGGCGGGAGTGAAAAGACTTGTCATAAACTCCATACTGCTCCCATGGTTCTATTTATCAGGCCTGGGGGGGATCCTGTGTGCGGAACTTGATTACAACTGCCTTTATTACTTCTGAATCTGCATCAATCTTAATAGTCTTTTACTGGAAAAGGCCTGCACTTTCGTATGACACACACACACACACACACACACACACACACAGTGGCAGGCATTTGCAGTGTGTGAGCTTGTGATGTGTTCAAAGCCAGATTATAACGCTGAGCGGCAGGGATTTCCTCCGCATCATCTTCATCTAACAGATTAAAGAGGATGTGATCATACATTTTCCAACCCTTTAATCCTCTGCAGAGAGACTAAAATAAAACACAGCTACTGCTCACGGAAGAGCATGTCAGCTAGCTGCTGTGGTGTGTGTGTGTGTGTTTCAACTCGCGAGGCAACCCTGTGCCACAATACTTTCCTAACATTGAGTTGAAACAAACAGCCAGAGCCCAAATCTAATCAGGCTGGCCTGGTGTCCTTCTCTTGACATGAATATCCGTCCACCATCCTGCCACTAAACTGAAAAGCCAAGCCACGTCTCTCCAGTTATTGTCTCTCCAGTTATTGGTTTGAGCGTATGGAAGGACGTGTATGATTGGTTGGAGGGTCAGGCTGTTATCCTCAATCAGGAAGAGAGGATTCTGTGAGCATTCACAACGAATAGAGATATTAATCTTTCAAAATGGTGTCTTTAATATAGTCTTTGAGTTTCTCTCTCATTATGAAGACATGCAGATTGGAGCTGGTCCAATATCATTCATTGTGAGAAGGAAGCTCTTTGAGGATACAGCAGTCTCTGGTCAGTCTGACACGGCTTTGACATACGGGCTTCGGCGAGGAGCAGAACTCCTAAGACTTCCTCTTTTAATCATATCAGAATAAAGGCTTATATTTTGTGTGAGAAAGCCATAAACCGCACTATATTAAAGCCTTTAGTATATAAATGTTACACAGTGCACAGTGTATGTTATATTTATGTATTACCTAAAGTGTTGTTAAAAGAAATCAGCCTAGCATTCAACTATCTATTTGTTGGGATGTTCCTCTTCCTGCTGACTCTATGGTTGGTGACAGACAGGTAAGACTGTTGGGATGTTCCTCTTCCTGCTGACTCTATGGTTGGTGACAGACAGGTAAGACTGTTGGGATGTTCCTCTTCCTGCTGACTCTATGGTTGGTGACAGACAGGTAAGACTGTTGGGATGTTCCTCTTCCTGCTGACTCTATGGTTGGTGACAGACAGGTAAGACTGTTGGGATGTTCCTCTTCCTGCTGACTCTATGGTTGGTGACAGACAGGTAAGACTGTTGGGATGTTCCTCTTCCTGCTGACTCTATGGTTGGTGACAGACAGGTAAGACTGTTGGGATGTTCCTCTTCCTGCTGACTCTATGGTTGGTGACAGACAGGTAAGACTGTTGGGATGTTCCTCTTCCTGCTGACTCTATGGTTGGTGACTGACAGGTAAGACTGTTGGGATGTTCCTCTTCCTGCTGACTCTATGGTTGGTGACTGACAGGTAAGACTGTTGGGATGTTCCTCTTCCTGCTGACTCTATGGTTGGTGACAGACAGTTAAGACTGTTGGGATGCAGCTGTTCCCTGTAGCGTGGGAAAGGACAACAAACCCTTTATGACTAGACTGTAGCTGGGTTTGCTATCAAGCGTGTTCACACTTGTAGTCTGTGTGTGTGTGTGTGTGTGTGTGTGTGTGGACACTTTATTGTGTGTGAGGTGATTAAAGGGTTTTACGTCACCGCTGACAATCTGTAAAATAAATACTCACAGTTAAAGAGAGACACACACACACACACCATGGTCCAAGTGAATCATAGCCTTGACAGTTAAGTCAGCACAATTATACTCTCATGTGGACTGTGTTGCAAGGTGGGAGAGAGAGAGAGAGAGAGAGAGAGAGAGAGAGAGAGAGAGAGAGAGAGAGGAGAGAGAGAGGAGAGAGAGAGAGAGAGAGGAGAGAGAGAGAGAAGAGAGAGAGAGAGAGAGAGAGAGAGAGACCAAGAGAGAGACCAAGAGAGTGGGAGCAAGTGCCAACCAATCAATGATATTGATGTGTGCGTCAGTAAAAATCGGTCCCCCATTTCAGCTGCAACACTGCCTGCAGCTTTTGACCAGCGCTTTCCTCCCTGGGGTTGAGTCTGTACTGCCTACCCTAACATCTCAATACTCTCTCTCTCTCCGTATCTCTCTCTCTCTTCCTCTACTTCTCTGTCTCTCTCTCTCCGTATCTCTCTCTCTCTCTTCCTCTACTTCTCTGTCTCTCTCTCTCTGTATCTCTCTGTCTCTCTTTCTCTACTTCTCTCTGTCTCTCGCTCTCTCCGTATCTCTCTCTCTCTCTACTTCTCGGTCTCTCATTGAAAGATAATGTAAATGTCAGCACAAAAGCCATCTAAGCCATATTGCTCTATAACCTAAATGCTCAAGCATAAGCTAGCTAGGAAACGTTGAGATAACGTAAATGCCAAACCAAAAGATAGCTCAAATACTTTGCTTAATAACCTAAATGCCAAACTAAATGGGATAGTCTCTCAGAAAAGCTTCCAGAAAAGCTTCCAGTTTGAAGTTTAAAAAGTTCCTCAGAGAATACGCATGCTAATGTTCTTTAGAATGAGATGTTAAAAGTTATAAAGAGAACAACAAAAGAAAGAAACCATGGACGAAACACTTCCTCTCACAGGGGGTTAGAGTCAGGGAGGCTCCATAAATTATCCAGTCATTGTAAGCCTGAGGAGAAGAAATTCAAGTCTGCTTCCTTCTCCCAAACCGCAGTAGCAGTGAATATACACAACCCAGCTGCACACACACACACAAACACGCACACACACATTGCTTCCCTATTTGCCGCATCGCATCACTAAATCACTCAGACTAAGTGAGCCTTGCTGTGCTCCACCGACCGAGATGTGCGTGTGTCCATGGCTAGAAATAGCAGCAGCATGTGTAAGTGGATGCCAAATTCAATTATATCTAACGACTCAACCTTATATATCAGATGGTTTTACTAATATCTGATTGGTTGATGATGGGTCACGTATATCGACCTATAGTCTAGTTCCCATGCAGCCATGTGACTGGGTGGGAATGGGTCTGAAATGGCACCCTATTCCCTATATAGTGGCCCTATGGGATCCCTATGGGCTCTGGTCAAAAGTAGTGCACTACACAGTGACATTTCAGACACAGCCCATGACTCCATAGGAACTATTGTGACTGGGAGGGAATGAGACCACGTAGGACACAAGTGCACAGTTATTCTCTCTATGCCATGTCTATTGGTCCATTGTTATAGGACCAGGAGGTTTTCCTGACTACGTGATCTATCCAGGAGAGAAAAAATTGGACATGGTCAGGGAGAACTCTGGGTCCTATAGACCAGTTTACCTGGTGATGTGACATGGTTAGGGAGAACTCTGGACCCTGGACCAGTTTACCTGGTGATGTGACATGGTCAGGAAGAACTCTGGACCCTGGACCAGTTTACCTGGTGATGTGACATGGTCAGGGAGAACTCCATGGTCCTACTTATTGAAGCAGATTACAACAACACCCACACAGTTACATGCACACGCACGCACATACTCAAGTAGGCAAACACACACATTTACAACCCTTCAACATAGACATTTTCAGACAAAAGACACACACACACACAGGTGAAAAGCAGCGAGACACTCTGCGATCGTCTCCTGATCTCCTGACAGCTGGTATAAAAGCGCGCCAAAGAACCCGCGGGAGCATGTGTAGTAATGTGGATCCCATTTAACGCTTTAAATAGAACATGACTACAACCAGCGCACGCACACACACTCGGACACGCACGCACACACACACTCTGACACACACACACACACACACTCGGACATACACACATTCGGACACACACACACACCACACACACTCGGACACACACACAGCCGAAAGCTATGAACCTGAGCTACAGACATGCCCACTCCCTTGAGTCAATACCTGCAGGTAAACAAACAGGTGTGTCTGAGTGAGTTAGGGGCTGGGGGCTTGGAGAACAGACTACAGAGTTTACAGACATGCTTTATGTTGCAGGGCTAGTAAGCTATCCTGTTTATGAGAAAGGGTGTGGTAGGTAGACTCTGTGGCAGTAATGTTGGGTCTGCCGTGCTGACACAGTCTGCCGTGCTGACGGCTGGAGTGTTTCTGTGGTCTCTGTCACAACGTCAGTGTGTTAACCCCTAAGGGGTTTGAAATGGCGACCGCCAGCAAAAAGCAGGGAACTCTCATTCACAAACAGAATATTTCCGATATGTTAAATTCCCAACAACTGGTGAACAATATAAATTGTCCTCTTGATGTCAAAATGAGCATCAGGCCAGATGCACCTCCTGTTTTCTTTCTCTCTCTCTCACACTCACATTGTCCCACCCCTACTTACAGGACTCTGTAGTATCTGTCTGACTCCCTCCCTCTCTCTATCGCTCTATCTCTCCTACTTACAGGACTCTGTAGTATCTGTCTGACTCCCTCCCTCTCTCTATCTCTCTATCTCTCCTACTTACAGGACTCTGTAGTATCTGTCTGACTCCCTCCCTCCTCTCTATCTCTCTATCTCTCCTACTTACAGGACTCTGTAGTATCTGTCTGACTCCCTCCCTCCCTCTCTCTATCTCTCCTACTTACAGGACTCTGTAGTATCTGTCTGACTCCCTCCCTCTCTCTATCTCTCTACCTCTCCTACTTACAGGACTCTGTAGTATCTGTCTGACTCCCTCCCTCTCTATCTCTCTATCTCTCCTACTTACAGGACTCTGTAGTATATGTCTGACTCCCTCCCTCTCTATCTCTCTAGCTCTCCTACTTACAGGACTCTGTAGTATCTGTGTGACTCCCTCCCTCCCTCCTACTAACAGGACTCGTAGTATCTGTTGACTCCCTCCTCCCCTCTCTCTACTCCTCCTACTTACAGGACTCGTAGTATCTGTTGACTCCCTCCCTCCTCCTCCCTCCTCTACTACAGGACTCGTAGTATCTGTTGACTCCCTCCCCCTCTCTCCCTCCCTCCTCCTACTTACAGGACTCCGTAGTATCTGTGTGATCCCTCCCTCCTACTACAGACTCCAGTATCTGTGTGACTCCCTCCCCTCCTACTAACAGGACTCCGTAGTATCTGTGTGACTCCCTCCCTCCCTCCTACTAACAGGACTCCGTAGTATCTGTGTGACTCCCTCCCTCCCTCCTACTTACAGGACTCCGTAGTATCTGTGTGACTCCCTGACTCTGTAGTATCTGTCGACTCCCTCCCTCCCTCTATCTAGCTCCTACTTACAGGACTCCGTAGTATCTGTGTGACTCCCTCCCTCCCTCTCTCTATCTCTCCTACTTACAGGACTCCGTAGTATCTGTGTGACTCCCTCCCTCCCTCCTACTAACAGGACTCCGTAGTATCTGTGTGACTCCCTCCCTCCCTCCTACTTACAGGACTCTGTAGTATCTGTGTGACTCTCTTCTTCTGTTCCATCATATTGAAGTCCTGTCTGAGGTCAGGTGACATGTTCCTCTCTCTCAGGTACTCGGGGTCGTTGGGATCGATGCGGTCGAAGTATCGTTCCTTAGGACCACCGGGTCCTCCGCCGCCGCTGGGCGGGGGAGGGGTGGTCACCACGGCGTGACGGCCTCCTGCGCTCATGCCTGCTTCCTACGCTGCTCTGATCGAGCTCTGCTTCTCACCTGGAACGAGGGAGAGAGAGAGAGAGAGAAGAGAGAAGAGAGAGAGAGAGAGAGAGAGAGAGAGATGTTTAGAATAGAGATCTGACAGTTTGAGTTGCATCATGTATCAGCAAAGTTGCTTGAGATAATGTCACTTGCAACCTACAACTGCAACAGTAATTGTGTCCAAATTGCTTTGTGTGACAGCGGTTTTACACTCAACTAAACTAAAAGACGCAATGGAAATAGGATAGGTATGTTCAAAAAACCAAGTCCAGAACATGTAGTTCCCAACTTTTATTTATTATTCCAAAGGGAACATTTATTTTTGCAGAAGTCTCATTTGCCAGACTGTGGGAAAACAATCGTTTTGCAAACTACTATTGAGCACAGATGCAGAGCCCCAAGTTATGAATATACACAAACTAAATCTATTCCTGTGAACAACAACTGTTCCAACTAAAAATAATCAAAACTAAGCCAACTTTTTTTAAGCCAAACTAGTGACAAACAGAAAAGTCAGAGGACTATCACTGCAAAATAAGTTAATTCCTCTGAACAGTAACCATTCACTTTCACCAAACTGCATGATAAACACAGTGAGACATGAGTATTCAGAGCCCCAGGTCATGTGTAAATACAAAGTCATTTCATATGACCATTAAGCTTTCTAAAGAAGCCATTCCTATGGCATTACTATTCACTTTAAGCCAAACAGAAAGAACTACAGGATAACAGGTGACAGTGACATGTCCCACAAGGGACTGAGAGGAAACCACTCCAAGCAGGAAGAGGATGCCCATCCTATCAGGTCGTCTGCTGTGGGAAACGCTGCTCTCGGATTGGTTAACGCTCCGACGCCAACAACAGTAATCAGGACCCGCTCTGACTCTGGCCAGATTTTTGTTTCCATCATAAACACACACACACACACACACACACACACACACACACACACCGGCTGTTATCTATATGGAACGTGCTCCAGAGGGGGGAAAGAAAGACAAACAAAGCGAACGAGAGAGAGACTCGTATTTTGTTAGACCATCAGGGTCATGACTGGGTTAGTGAATACGTTTCCCCTGACTGCTGTCTCACCCTGTTACCCCTGTTCCAGTTGGCATGACAACACACAACAGTTGGAAACAGCTATAGTACGTCATGTGTTATTGACTATCCTGAACCACTTGTTGCCATGCCAAGAGAGCACAACAATGTCGGCAAAAGTGCCATGGATTGAATGACTGCATGAATGGAAAATATCAACTAATTAGACAGAAAGTGTAAGAAACCATCTCCCAGGTAGCTTTGCGGTGTGGCTGTGGAGGTTAAAGACTTCTGCATACTTCTGTTCGGCTGGCGCCTAGCTGAGTGTGCTCACATACTCCCTTAAAAAACTAAAAAAGAAATGGCAATAGCCAGTATACACTTCCTCAAAATAGTCAGATAACTCAAGAAATCTGTCATTCATTTTGACGTTTTTGCCGAGGAGATCTTAGTCGAGCAACTTTACATCTGACTAAGAGGTTTGGTGCAGTATTTATATTTGGCTTGCCTCCAAAAAAAATAGTTGGGCCGAATAAACTCTTGCCGAAGACCAAAACCAACATAAAAGTCACAAAATGTTGTCATAATATATGCACAAACTGTTCCGGATGGGAAGCATGCGGACACCTTTAGGTTAAACCTTGGCATATTAGAGATGGGAGGGGCAGAGAGCAGGCTGGGCTCAACCAGATGGCTTGTGGTTTCCACCCAACAGAGAGACAGACACAGAGAGAGAGAGAGAGAGAGAGAGAGAGAGAGAGAGAGAGAGAGAGGATAGAGAGATAGAGAGGAGAGAAGAGAGAGAGAGAGAGAGAGGAGGGAGAGAGAGAGATGAGAGAGAGATATAGAGAGAGAGATCATACAGCGAGACTTCTCTACTCACTCCTCACTCTGCTGGTTACTTGTTTTCCCTCCTCTCCTTCACCTCTTCTTTCGCTCTCAGTCTCCCTCTATAGAGGTTTATCTCTATCAGCGAGAAAGGAGATCTACAGTACCTGTCGTCATCTCTCTCTCTCACTCTCTCTTTCCCTTTCTTTATTTTCTCCCTCTCTCTTTCCCTCTCTTTTTGCCCAAGTCCTCTATCCTCTCCCCTGCTGTGGATTTGATATGGGGAACGAGGGAGTGAGGGAGTGAGGGAGTTAGGGAGGGAGGGAGGGATAGAGGGAAGGTAGATTCTTTTCTTTGCTGCTCTGCGTTGCTAAGCTGCTCCTTCAGGTCTAATGGAACTTAACAAGATGTTTCAGATTAAGAGCCACAACGCACAGCTCTGGGCTAGCCTGTAGTCTGGACCCGACCCAGTGTGTGTGTGTGTTTCAATGGGACGCTACATAGACTCAGAGGCGGCTATGAGCTGGCGTGCATGGTGGTTACCCCCTGCAAATTCCTCTCTGCCTTGTAAGGGACACAGCTATAATAGTTTTAACTTACAGGATTTTGTATGGACACAAAGCAAGATTAATGATATCTTTATAACTTTATTTCTCTCAAAGCGCTATTGTACAAAGTACCAGTATTTCTGTTTGTACATTACATGTTTGAACCAAACTCCAGTAGGTACAGTTGAAGTCGGAAGTTTACATACACCTTAGCCTGATACATTTAAACTCAGTTTTTCACAATTCCTGACATTTAATCTTAGTAAAAATTCCCTGTCTTAGGTCAGTTAGGATCACCACTTTATTTTAAGAATGTAAAATGTCAGAATAATAGCACAGAGAATGATTTATTTCAGCTTTTATTTCTTTCAACACATTCCCAGTGGGTCAGAAGGTTACATACACTCAATTAGTATTTGGTAGCATTGCCTTTAAATTGTTTAACTTGGGTCAAACGTTTCGGGTAGCCTTCCACAAGCTTCCCACAATAAGTTGGGTGAATTTTGGCCCATTCCTCCTGACAGAGCTGGTGTAACCGAGTCAGATTTGTAGGCCTCCTTGCTCGCACATGCTTTTTCAGTTCTGCCCACACATTTTCTATAGGATTGAGGTCAGGGCTTTGTGATGGCCACTCCAATACCTTGACTTTGTTGTCCTTAAGCCATTTTGCCACAACTTTGGAAGTATGCTTGGGGTCATTGTCCATTTGGAAAACCCATTTGCGACCAAGCTTTAACTTCCTGACTGATGTCTTGAGATGTTGCTTCAATATATCCACATAATTTTCCTTCCTCATGATGCCATCTATTTTGTGAAGTGCACCAGTCCCTCCTGCAGCAAAGCACCCCCACAGCATGATGCTGCCACCCCGTGCTTCACGGTTGGGATGGTGTTCTTCGCCTTGCAAGCATCCCCCTTTTTCCTCCAATCATAACGATGGTCATTATGGCCAAACAGTTTTATTTTTGTTTCATCAGACAAGAGGACATTTCTCCAAAAGTACGATCTTTGTCCCCATGAGCAATTGCAAACAGTAGTATGGCTTTTTTATGACAGTTTTGGAGCAGTGGCTTCTTCCTTGCTGAGCGGCCTTTCAGGTTATGTCGATATAGGACTCGTTTTACTGTGGATATAGATACTTTTGTACCCGTTTCCTCCAGCATCTTCACAAGGTCCTTTGCTGTTGTTCTGGGATTGATTTGCACTTTTCGCACCAAAGTATACGTTCATCTCCAGGAGACAGAACGCGTCTCCTTCCTGAGCGGTATGACGGCTTCGTGGTCCCATGCTGTTTATACTTGCGTACTATTGTTTGTACAGATGAACGTGGCACCTTCAGGCGTTTGGAAATTGCTCCCAAGGATGAACCAGACTTGTGGAGGTCTACAATTATTTTTCTGAGGTCTTGGCTGATTTCTTTTGATTTTCCCATGATGTCAAGCAAAGAGGCACTGAGTTTGAAGGTAGGCCTTGAAATACATCCACAGGTACACCTCCAATTGACTCAAATGATGTCAATTAGCCTATCAGAAGCTTCTAAAGTCATGACATCATTTTCTGGAATTTTCCAAGCTGTTTAAAGGCACAGTCAACTTAGTGTATGTAAACTTCTGACCCACTGGAATTGTGATACAGTGAATTATAAGTGAAATAATCTGTCTTTAAACAATTGTTGGAAAAATTACTTGTGTCATGCACAAAGTAGATGTCCTAACCGACTTGCCAAAACTATAGTTTGTTAACAAGAAATTTGTGGAGTGGTTGAAAAACGAGTTTTAATGACTCCAACCTAAGTGTATGTAAACTTCCGACTTCAACTGTATATCATATGGGTACATAGTACCAGTCAGTTAGTATATAAAAATACTATTACAAGTGAAAGACGACATAGATTCAAAGCCAATGTAGAGACAGGTTGTTCGATAGTCTGACCAAATAGGCCATCGCCGTGACACCGGAGACAAGTGCATGCTGGACATTCCAATGCCATGCCCAGCTGACCAATGAGCTGACACCTGTGACCCTGAGAGGGGAAGGGCTTAGTGGGATGACATGAGTTAAGGAGTTTATAACGTCGTCATGACAACAAGATGGCCAAATAGGGCCAATAGTGCATGCTACAGCAGGGTTACCCAGCAGGGTTACCCACGCTGCACTTGAGTACTATGAGCAGGGACCAATAGTATTTTCTGACACATGACCTATGGATTCACAGGCTGTTTCTAGAGTTTTACCTCAGGTCGCCAGGTCAGAATTGCGCAAATAGATGATTACTACTATACAAAGGGCTGGGAGTTTATAGGGTATTACTAAGGCCCTGAGATTTGCCCGGTCCTGTATAATATAATATGGGCTGTAATGTAGGACTACAGTATATGAGACGTACTATAAGTGAGGTGTAGGAGTATAAACTGTATGTCATCCTGTATATGACATTCAAGCCACTGCACCACTTAGGCTTTGGCTCTAGCTGACATGACTCTCTTTATCAGCTGAATCATCACACATTGGAAGACTTAAGTTTCTTCTATGGCAGACCTCTCTCTCTCTCTCTCCT